TAGAATTTTCAAATTTTCTTTTCTTCTTTGATTAGCATAACTATTCCAACCAATAATGTTATTTTTTTTTTTGTATACAAATTAAGTGGCTTAGTGGTAGAATCTAATCTTTTAATTGTGATTGATGTTGTTTTATCCAACTTATTTACATTTCGGTGCAAAATAAAAACATGACAATGAAGGATAAAAGAGAATCTTTTTCAGTGTTTTTTTTTATTTGGGTAGAACTTTCTACTGTACTTAAAAAAAATTATATATTGAGGGATATAACTCCGTCCTAGTGTCTGTTGTACGAACCGAGAAACTCCTTGAATATTCAAGCATTAGATTTGAGGGAAAATCTAGACTTATTTAGATTCTATTCTTTAATAAGTCGGCTGTAAATTTTTTTGGACACACAACGAAGACCTTGTAATGGTAGACAAATCAAGCGTTACATGGGCAGAGACTTTGAATATGAATTCCAAATTCAAGATTAATCAACTTCACGAGTCAACACTAATTTTTGTCCAATTTGATAAATAACCGAGCCACAGTGAGTCTAAAGTCTAATAACTTGGTCAAGTTCAAAGTACTAAACGCTCACATGGAGAAAAGAAAAAAAAAAACATCTTTATGACATTTTTATTACTGTTGTTATTATTATTATTATTTTGCAAGCATCAATTTTCAATTGCGTGTGCATAGACCAAGATGGATTTGCTAATTAATCTGCAATGTGGCATTTCAGAAGGACATCATACCCAAACTTATTCAACTATTTTTAAATATTTTCTAAGAAACCCTCTTTAATTTCTCGACTATTGTATGTGCTTAGATTAAGGTTGTCACGGGTGTTTATAATAGTTGTTAATTTAACTAGAGAGAGAGAGAGAGAGAGTCATTAACATAACTGTAATGTACAAATGCTGAAAAGAGTACTTGCGCATGTGACTCTAAAGATGCAATGAACTTAAATCAATTAAAAACGGATTCGGATCTTTTTCACTATAAAAAGGTAGTAGAAAGATTATTGCTATATCTCACAACCATTGATTTGTTTAATGGATGATTATAACTTCTCTTTGAGTGTAAATTAGGAAAATAATGTAATTCACGGGGTAGGTAAAATGTTTGAAATGAAATGAACATAACCATCAATTACATAAATCATTGATTATGATTAAACACTGGCTTCTTCACTATTTTAGAAATGTTTGTAAAGGCCATTGTTGATACCTACTAATTTCTGGTTGTTGATGCGCACATAAACAAACAATATATTTTAGAAAACTGTCATAAAATTTACAGCGTTTTTTCAGATAATATCGTTAACATTTTTTATGTACTTACATAACCTTTTCAGAAAATTACTTTTATTTTTCATAAAGCTAACTTGAAATTTTCAGTTATATGAATAAATAAATTCATGATAGTTCTTAAACCCTCAAAAATTTTGATACTTCCATGAAATTTAGTCAAACAAATTTCGCAATGCAAATTGCGTACTTTGAACTGCAAATTAATGCCACCACTGATCTGTGTAAATTAATTATGAGTTGGCCATCATTAATGATGGCCAACTCATTATCCAATAGGAAGGGGACACCTTACTTGTCCCCCCTATTGGTCCTATATTTTGGGTCCCTATAGCAAAGCTCATTAATTATAAACAAGATGCTTAGGTTTTAACATTTTAAAAACTGAAAGAAAGCAAAAGCAAAGATCAAAATATTTAAAAATAATAATAATAGGCTGATGTATAATGAACAGTCATACAATTCAGAACTTATAAATATATGATAAAAAGGGGAAAACTTTGATTTATTTCTTCACAATGTCATGCATTTATTTCCACATTGCCGGCATGATTCAATACATAACTTCCCATTTTTCATCGAAATTGAAATAATGGATACAACCAGCAATATACTTTCCTCTATGGCCATGGAAAATCTTCAAATGGAAAATCGTCAAATTTCTCAAAAAACAAATCTTTACAAGCATGTTTGAAAAGATAACAATGTAAACTACTGATCAACGCTTAACTTCATCGATACACACACCACAGAGGCATCAATAGGCATACAATAAGTTGCGCAACATGTACAGATTATATAACATAAGATTACAAGATCTCACTTTCCTTCGCAAGACATAGTAAAAGAAACAAAACCCCTCTCATAACGGAAGAACAATACAAGGCGAGCAAAAAGGGAATAATTATATCGAAACCAGGAAGAAAGAAATTGATTATACTTTCTAATTGGCTAAATGACTTGGCGAGCTGTTGAACATAGTATGCCACATGTAAGCTCTTGATAGGACCATCTCCAGTTCATGGTGGGTCCAATTCTGTGTGGGAAGATGTTGAAGGAACATGACCATCTCCTGGAATTCGAGCTTTTGGAGCTTATCAGACCACTGAAATATGATAGGCAATATATTAGAACATCGAAAATATATAACAAGGACTGGGAGTATGAAAATGTACTAGTTCTCGTCGAATAAACAAATGTAAGTAAAATGTTTTAAAATTAATAATAGGGTTAATTGCGGATAGACCGCCTGTACTATCACCCAATTGCATGTAGATACCTATAGTTCTATTTTTGCAGATAGACCCCCTAAGTGAAATCTTTTGACTCTTTTACCCCCAGAGGAAGATATATCTTTTTTGACAAAAAGACATCCTGATGATAAAAGAGTCAGAAAAAAAATTATCTGAGGTCTATCCACAACTTGCCTTTAGTACAGGGGGTCTTCTGCAACAAAAGAACTATGGGGGATCCATCTGCAATGGGGCGACAGTACAGATGGTCTATCCGCAATTAACCCGTAGAGAAAGAACATATTTAAATCTTAAACAATTTGTTCTATGGTCTTTTGGGGGAGATCACAGCCAAAAGGATTCTCAACTTCATCTTGAAACTTGAGAAACTTGTGGTCATCAATGCAAGCGTATTTCATGATGAATTTCAAATTTAATAAGGTTTCTAAATTAGTGGTCATTAATGCTGGTAAAATGCAAAACAAAATAGGTGGAAACTGTGTATTAGAAAGAAAAAAAGCACACTTTGGAAACAGAAAAGCCAACGAAACTTATCTAAAATTTGTGGTTTTGTAAACATAGTTATTTGTCAGTCTCAGAGAAAACAAGAACAGGGTCTGGCTAACTCACTGTCAACAAAAAACTGGCAGATATGTACACGAGAAACTCTGGTAATGCATCCCCTTCAGCAAGGTATGTATCCCACAAACGCGTAACAAGATGAAATGGGATCTGCAGAGATAACGAAGTAAAACTTAGTTACTGTCACTGTAATTACAGGATTTCAATAATGAAATTTACTAAAAAAAACAACCTCACGTATCAAGAGACAATTGAACCAACGAAAAGCAAACTGAAGAAACTCGAGGCCTTGGTCCTCCATGTGTCTTGAAACAGGTTCTTGTGAAGATAAAATTTAAATATCAACCACTATAACAGGAAATATACTAAACATGATAAGATCTTTTGGGCGAAAATATTACACAGAAAATGCATTTCATTAGAAATAATAATTGCTTTTTAGTCAAAGGCTCATCCTATCTAAAATATCAGTGCTGCCTCAAGCTAGAAGAGGCTTTAAGCTAAGTAGCAAGTGAAAATCATTTGACTCGTACAAAGATTACGCGGATTTTTTATATTTGTTCAACAAATGTTTTGTATAGCCATGCTTCCTCAAAAACTATACGATACAGTTTCTTAACAGAAGGGAAAAAAGATAGTAATGACGCCTTCAAATGCGAGATCAAAATTAACTCCTGATATTGTAAACCACGTGATAAAAGTGGTACTCTGCCAGCAAAGATAAATTACCAAAGTGGAGCAAAGAGTTCTTAAGAAATAACATCAAGTACCTAATAAATCTATCAGTTAAGGGGAAAAACTTACCATCTATTCGCCGAACCAGTTCCTTCAATTTGAAGACAAGTCGTTGAATTCCTGGCTGAGCAAATGTGTAGTGATCTTGCATACCATCAAGCAATTTTGAAAGACACCAATAGCAGTCGGCTTCTATGTTAGATATATTTTCCGGAGAAAGAGACAACATCGACCAGTTATCCATGCCGCCTTCAAGATGCTCGGATAAAAATACCATGAGAAATGGTGTGACAAGATCATTTATTCCTTGAACATATCCGCTTGCCGGATGCCGAATAGCCCTGAAAACAAATTCCTGAGACATCATTCATCAAGAAAAAGTACAAATTTCAACCTATACTACAGTGACAGCTTACATTAGATTGTTTAAACAAGAGAGCACGCGTTGAATGGACTACAGATTGCACCTTGCAACATCTACTAATGTAATAATAAATCCACATAAATACCAAGCAAAACAAGATACAACATAACTTACATGTTCTCACATAAAAATGAGATATGACTGATGTATGATATTCATTTTCTGTCAGAAAGAGTTTTTCCTATCCGTGAATCTTTTGTCTAATATGATATCATAGTGATATGATATTGTGATTCCTAATACTTGAAAATTCCAGTTTTCTTAGAAATGAATTTCACCATTACTTACGGAGCGTTTGGCAACCGTGACGTTTTTGTCGTTTCTGTTTTTTTTCCAACAAAAACAAAGAAATATGTTTGGCAACCGGGGCGTTTTTTTGACTTGTCCCTTTACAAAATCTAAAAATTAAACACTTTTCTCAAAACACCAAAAATGTGTTTTAAGATTCCGTTTTTTCATCTAAGTCGTCGCAGCCCGTGTCGCCCGCCGCTGCCGGCCCGCCGCCACCCCGCCGGCCGCCCGCTGCCCTCGCGGCCCCGCGCACCCCGCCCGCCACCGCCCGCCCGTCGTCCGGCTGCCGCCGTCGCCCGCCCGCTGCCTACCGCGACCGCGTCGCCACCACGCGCTCCCCGACCCGCCGCCCGCCCGTTAGCGGCCGCCTGCCACCCTTCACCCATTGCGCCCGCGGCCACCAGTCGGCCCCGTCGCCGCCCGCCAGTCTGCCGCCACCAGCCACCCGCCGCCACCACCGCCCGCCGACTTGTCGTCGCCACCCTGTCAGCCACCTGCGCGGCCCGCCGCCGCTCGCCGGTCGGCGGCCACCCTCCACGCGCCGCCGCCACCACTGCCACCACCACGCCCACGGCCACCCGTCGCGCCTGGCTGTCGTCCGCTTGTCGGCCGACCATCGGCCACCCGTCGACACCGCTGGCCCGCCCATCGGCGACCGCCGGCACTCGCCGCTAACCTGCTAGTAGCCGCAGTTCGTCGTTCGCCCGTCGCACCCGCCACCCGACCGCCGCCGTCGCCGCCCGCCCACTGCCGCTATATAAATGGTCAAACTAGTTTGACCAAAATGGTGTTTTCAAAACACATTTGAAAAAGAAACACCATGGCATGGTGTTTTTTACAAAAACACATTGATTACCAAACACACCCTAAGCTATTAAAAATATGATTAAACAGGATTTAAAGGTTTAACAAAAAGTAATATGTTTGCAAACATTAAAACCATAAATCAGGACGCAAATGCATCATACGAGTGAGAGAAAGTAGTCATAATAGTGTCTTAGGTAAAAGATTCTGGCTAAAGGTTCTAGTTTAGGACATAATCCCAAAACAACAGCTTGTCATGTCATTTCTATTCGCTTTAGTGCATTCTACAAACAATGGTTTCAGATGCCTAACTAGCTTACAAATTTTTTTTAAAGAATAAAATAACAATTTATATTATAGCACTTATTGAGATCAAAGAAGAAAATGATATTAACAAAAAAAAAATTACAGAAGCTGATATCTGTAAATCTTATAAATTTCAATGAAGATACAGATATTGTATATGATCTGAATACAGGCTAACATAAGGTCATTAATCGGTCAACAAATTAGTTAGATTAAATAGTTAATATACTCAGCTCTTTAAATAGAAAGATGTTTAAGAAACATCTTCGCTGATGCAACTGATGGTCACAGATCCTTAAGGATCCATCCTCAGGGAAGAAGGAGACACCTAGAAATTCTTTCACTTTAAGCACATCCTACCAAGTCTAAATGGACTGGAAAATGTCCATAAACATAGCACTAATTACACAATGATACACTCATCCAGCTGAATAAACATGCTCTTTATACAGTAAAATCATGCATCTAAAAAATCTGGAGCAACTGGATGTGAGATAATCTAAAATAACATTCTTTTCTTTAATATGAAAAAGGTCAGAAGCAGACAGAAATATCTAACCATGTATAGAGGACACGCTCCAAGGATTTCTGAACTTGTGGCTGCTGGAAGAAAATGACATCAGGTACTGTTCTCGGGCAATCAACAGAAATCTATTCAATCAGAAACATAACAAAATGGTGAGATATCCTTTATGTTGTGTGTTAAAAGCTGGTAGAGTGAAGTCAACAAATAACCTGGCGAAGCATGCTTATCTCGTCATCCGAACGATCAGCATCAGGAACGTCATAATATTGAGAGACACAATCCAAGTACTCGACTCGTTTCCTTGCTAAAATTCCCTCACGTCTATCTGAATTAGTTGGTGCATATCCCTGTTGTCAGCTAATATTTAAATTTCAAATATGCACAAGAAATTCTAAGACTAGCAAAGTAAATTAATGACTTGTCAAAGAAAATATTTTGCACTAGACATGCCCATGAGGTTGGTGGTATGGAAGATGTGTTATATCAAAATTAGAATTAAAACAAAATAAAACAAAAGTAATTAAGATTTACGATTTTAAAGATGAACGAAAAAAATCAATATCAAATGTCCATTAAATACAAGCCCATTATGCTGAATCGCTGATCATATGTTGTGCAGGTTTTTATGTTGTGTTAAACCAGATATTGTCAAAGGGTTTTTGTTGTGTTTATTTGAGAAAGAAAATGGTTCCAGCATGTTCAAGATGAACCTTAGGATGTTGTCACAGCTCTCACATGCAATGATGCTTCTTAAAGCTGATAAAGCTCCAGCTTGACTGTTGCATAATTGTGCAAGTATTGCGCAGATCCAGGCTCATTTTGATTTACACTTCCGAGCAAGAATTAACAGACTCATTTCAGAGAATAAGCTTGAGGCAACTCGACTATAACTTCAGATTTTGAAAATAGTTTGAACGAAAAGAGTGAAATATGAACACCTCCAAGAAGGAGTCCTTATAGAAAATTAGTGCTGATGTAACAATGAGCCAATGAAAGTGGCAACAGGAGAGAAAGACACATTGAATCGCAGCAACATGGCAGCAGTGTTTGCATTATAGCGACAGTGCTGCTTGACAATGGTGAGAATAGTGAGGGTCCATGTTAAATAGGTGTCACTGGCAAACCAAATGGTTATTCTTAATTCATGATTGACATCAGATTTGGTATGGTTGGTGGGACAGCCATGTAAGACTGTGTTTTCACATGGCACGTGCAAGTATTTACAAATTTTGTCAAGCAGTGCTAGAATTGACAATTGAGGGAAGAAAGCAAAGCAAGGGCCATAACTTTTTCTGAATCCCAGTGCTGGAATTTCAGAATGTTTTAATGTTTTTGCAAAGACAAATAACAGACATCGCAGAAATAAATCCAAATGAGAGAAAATTTACGCAGCAACCCACAAAAGAATTAACAAGTGTCAAGACCAAAGATAGTAAAGGTATCAAGATTTTTTGTGTGGTCAATAATGTTTAACTAGCAGCATGACCAAGCTTCCAGGACAACAGGCCCAAGAAATTCATATTAAACAGTTTAATATTCAAATAAGCTGAAGGTAGAGAGTAAAAAAAAGCAAGAAGTATGATCAAACTGTGTAAAATCCCAACGATTAGTTAAGCAGACATTTGTATTCTCTTAGCTTATATTCAAAATTAAGCAGAAAAAGGATTTGGGTTTAACTCTTGATTGTTCAATCACCAGGATGTTCCAATGAACAGTAAAAATAAAAAAAATAAAAAAACAAAAACAAAAACAAAAGAGAACTAAACATTAAGCAAACATAATATTTGGAAACTGGATCAGGAGAAAGGCAGTATCATCTTTCGCGGAATGCGTATGACACTGAATTTCCAATATAGCAATCACATATAAACACAGCATTGTTCAGAAATCATTAGCTAAGAGTCACTTACCAAGAGAAGCCTCCAGACATTTGGACGCATATATGGTGGTATGCCGCTCCAAGATAACTCACGTAGTTTTTCTATATTACCAAGAACATCGTGTACATAAGTCGCAGTCAAATATGGTCTAGATGCTAGAAAACATATTTAAACATTTAAAAAATAAAGAATAATAATCAGTTGCAATGGATTGACATTTAAAGGATGGGATTTTGGAAACGCAAAACAAACAATTCCGAGAAAAAGAAGAACTGGTATCATGGCATCAACAAAATCTTTAATCATATCCAAAACAGTTAAAAGATTATGGCAACCTTCCTCTGATCCATAGTGTGTATAGCGATGAATTTGGCACTCACTCAGAGGATTCAATTTAAGATGCTACACAATCATAAATTCTGTTTTTATCTTTAAAGGAGTCTTGTGCAACACATCCAACCACATATTGATGGGACAAGACACAGTAATGATGTGGAATGACTCTAGATAGACTAAGGATTCTCTATCCATTGTTGAACATATCCACCACAGGCCAAGCACCCAAATCCTCTCCACTGATGAATAAATCATACCCATTCAAACAATTGTAACAATATTAACAATAATAAATATTAATATTAAAAAGATACCTAAGTTGCAAAGAAACTGCCAACAACTGGCTCGCCAAATGGCAAAGAAGGTTCAACATGGTTTCTTCCTTATTCCTTTTTGTCAATTAAGGAAACGTTATCAGCTCCAGTGAGGATGTCTTACCATTAAATCAACCACCCACCTGAAATTTATAAATATGAAAGTCATGACATGAACCATGATCTATGGGCTAAATCTCAATAATACTTTTAGCAATTCCTCATACTATTGCATTCTATTAGCGGGAATGCTCGAGGGGTTTATCAATGAAAATTCCTTATTATCCGGAATATTGGCACCTTATGCCACCTCTCAATAAGGAGAGTGTCTATATACGAAGATAAAGGCACAGGACATGTGCAACAAAATGTATGCTAAGAGTTATTCTTGCAGACCTTCTGATATTGCTTTTGCAAAATTTTCAAACTGCCTCATATAACCTAGACTTGCAACTAGAAACTATTGAACCTGAGCCCAACCCCACCCCTATGAAAATTCCTTATTATCTGGAATATTGGCACAATATGCCACCTCTCAATCAGGAAAGTGTCAAAAGACCAAGATAAAGGTACAGGACATATGCAACAAAAAATGTGCGCTGATAGTTATTCTTACAGGCCTTCAGATATTGCTTTTGCAAAATTTTCGAACTACCTCCTATAACCTAGACTTGCAACAAGAAACTACTGAACCTGAGCCCAACCCCACCCCTAAGAAAATATTGGGTTTTGATGAACTACAAAGGGCCTTTCTCCAAATCCAACATAACATTGTTTGCAAATAGAGCTTCTGTTCAGATTTCAAGAAATTGATATCGCTTGAAGGCCTAACCAATTTTAGGCTTGCTGATTTTTTTTATCATTTTCCAGAATGATGCCCACCTGGCCAGTTTTATAATTCCTATATACCAAGCTTACCCTAATGTCCAATTCATTTCCAATCTAGTTTCGCTTCCTTGATGATCAAGAAAATGCAAGAAAACCCCTAGTTCTTCTCTCGTCTTCATTGTTGTGCCACATCATTGTTCTTGTCCGCAGGCTTTAAATCGAAATTTAAGTTTACAGCATTCAGAATGTAGACCCCAACTCCATCAGTCTGCAATCTCAGCTAGATCAAGAACCTAATTCCTTTCTTTTCTGTCCATATTTATCGGCAACAAGAGTTGTGACTTTGACCTGTTACAGAGATTTGGAAATTGGAACAAACGTTACCCAGACCCTATCCTCAAGCCAGGCAGTAATGACTGCTTATCTGGATTTAAAGAAATCATATCAGGTTCAAATCTGTTTACCTCAACGAACAAGTAGACTCCGCAGCCACACAAATGCTTAATTAACATTTTCAACTTTGTTTGAACTATCATTGCATAGATCTAATCTGCAAAGCACACCAAGATCTGCAAAGCACACCAACCTAGTAGGAAAGACATAGTATAGAGATTGGTTATTGGACACATTGAAAATCTGGGTCCTATCCAATAACAAATATATTGGTAAGAAACAACTGATTTCCCTGTTGGTTCCATAGCTGATCCAACTTTTATAGAAAATATGTTACAAAATCATGACTTTTTCCCGTCTCGCCTTTATTCTCTCCTCTCTTCAATCTTTTCCATCTCTATATCCTAATTTCTGCTACCCAGTTATGTATATTTCTTAAATCTCACCATCAACTCTGTGATGGAAGTTTCTATTACAACTGCAGAAAAGTTATTTCAGCTTCACTCCTATTTCCAACCGCAAACGAAGTAACTCCGAATATGGATAAACCCTTCTGCTACAGAGTATGCTCTTCCAAACTCCGCAACTAGCCTACTGAGTTTTATGACAGCCTTATCCTGTTCCATAAGAAAGCTGAATGGTCACAGTTTCAATTGAAGGCAAGAAATTCGTCAAATTTTCCATAGCTGACACCACCTCGTGTTAGGAAAGCCTTAAGTTATACACTATTATGATGATGACCCGTGGCCTTATAATTATATGTTCACATGTCACCTTATTTTCACTAAATAAGCATAAAAGATTAACCAAAATCATAGTAAGGTTCTCTACCCCCGCTTCTATTGTTATATAAAATTACAGTTTTGTATGCCTCTCCATGTATATCTGATTGCAGATACTCCCTTAGCATGCTAATATAAAGTTGAAGTTCACTTATTAGCATGTCAAGAGGTTTTTTCTTTTTTAATCATCAATTTATCTGCAAACCTTCATCGATACATTCATTTAATGGGAACTATTAAGTGTTCACAGTACTTTATTTGGGATATAAACAAAAGCATTTTATCTCTAATTATTGATAATTCATCTTTGGTTCCAATGTCTGAAAAAGAAAAATTACCACTTTATCTCCTAATCCTCATTTATTTTGTCACTTTATTGTAATTAACAAATTCTCTTTATGTAAAATATAACTAGAGCCCGAGAGAGTTTTAAGAAGATAAATGATAAACTGATTTCTGAGAATCACATCAACCCTTTCAAATCAAGTACCAGGAGGCCTTGACTTGTGAATACCCACAAAGCATAAATTGTACGTGGAAACCTCTCATATATAATGGCCAGGGTGCTTCTTCTTCTTAAGCTATGGACATATGGTGATATTATTACTATTAGACAATTTATCTGATAATGAATGTGGTAACTAGTGCACACGTGTACATCCTCTATCGGCAATTTAGAGATCTAGCATATATCCTTTTCGTGTAACTTACAATGTGATATCCTCTATCGGCAATTTAGAGTTCTTGCATATATCCTTTTCATGTAACTCATGTGTATGAGCATCTATTATAGACACAGCATTCAAATGAGATGCTGAACATGCATACTGAAAATTTTCCGCTTGAACTGCAATATGGCACCAAAAAGTAATAAAGCACGGTAACTATGCGCATCCATTGCCTTCTGCTCTTTTTCTCCAATCCCAAATAGTTATTCTCACCGGTGTTGGCAAAGGTAAATATCGGGAATATGATATAGATGGAAATTCTAGAAAACGTATTGCAATAGGAAGGAGGTTGGCAACAAGAAAATATTCACAATAGCTCAATATTTAGAAAACACTTGAAAGAAAAAGAAGATTCCTAAAGACAAGGGCATGAGAATCTACTGAGGCACAGAACTAAAGCATTAAATAAGTTGGATTCTTTATTTAATTACTCGAATGAAACATTTAAAGGCACAAAAATAAAGCGATAACAAGAGAATATACCTAATATCACAGCTGGTCTTGATAGTTCCTTTGTGAATTTTGCAAGTCTAGCGGTATCTGTAGCTCTAGCCCCCGATACAGATCTCTGATCATCTGCAGAAGAACTATCACTATTCTTTGATGATGATCTTAGGTTTTGAAGATTCACATTATCACCCGCGCTTCCAGAAGTTTCACCATCTCTCTGTACCACCAGGCACTTTAGTTGACAATCGAAGATAAAGAAGCAAGGATGAAGATAGAACTGGAATGAATCAATATTACCTTAAAAGGATCATTCATCTGATCTCCTTGCCCAACATCACTATCATAGTACCTTCTTCCAATGTCTGGAGTATTTACAGGTGAGATGCACTCATTCAAAGGCTCAGACTTGCGAGTCAACAGAACTTTACCAGGAAAGCTGCGGCCTTTAAGGAGCCTGGATAATAATTAAAGGATGAAAAGGTGAAAATAGAAACTTTTAACAGTAGAAACTAGCTATTATCTTTACTTAATCGGGAAGCAGAGGTTGCTGCAAATTATCGTGTGGTGGAACAGTCGGCCTAAGGAAAATGATGAATTTTCTATGAAAATATCTAAAGCAATCTCATTTAAGAATGCAAATTCCCTGTAACAAATCCTAACATCATCCCCAGTCTGCTAGATGTATCCTAGTTCTTGAGAACTGGTCTTTTTTCCCTGAGTTACACAAGCTTAAATTGCATGATCAACAACATATTTTTTTTAGAGAACTAGCCTTCTGGGGTTTTCGGTTACTTATTCACTTTCACATAGTTTCCATAGCCAAGAATTTAATGCCAATGGTTGGACTCCGTGAAGTGTAAGACTGTAAGTTATCATATGAAAATTTATGGTTTTAGAAATAATAATTTCCTGGGATGTCTGACTTTTTAGTCATTGGGTTCATCCCATTATAGTCTTTCACACACTTTGTCTAGGGCCATAGGAGCCCGATCAGCGTACTTAGAAGCTTAAGTTGGGGTAAGTGTTTGTTATATGTTTTTTTTAGTTAACCATTTTTATAAGAGATCATGGTTGATAAAAATGAACTCCTAAGTTTGATGTTATCTTATTCACAGAATATTTGTTCCTATGCATGACTATTCAACAGATTAGGTCTTAAGGTTCCTCCGATGGGGGGTACCGAAAACATTTTCATAAATTCTGCTATATGTTACAGGTTTGGATACGCCAAACGAAGTAAATGCAAAATGAAAACCTTAAAACTGTCCAAATCGAGGATGAAGAACTAGTGCTACCCAAATCAGCAGATATAATTGATGCAAACACAAAACGAAACAAAATACACGCCCAAAAACTGCAAAAATATTCCGCAACCGTGCAGGCCAGGCACAGTAGCAACTCCAAGCACGACATCAGACTTATTCAGATCTATCACATGCAAAATCCCTAACGAAAACATCAACTAATAAACTCCCCTATCAACAAAATCCTATACTTCGCAGTCATAACATCGCAACCAATAGATCAGAGTCCAAAATTAGAGCCACCACCAAGATGTGATTTTGATGCAAACCCAATTTACAGAAATGCCAGAATAAAAAACCCCATCTGAGATTACTCGTCCAGAGATCTGAATTGGGTTGGAAATTCGTTCAAAAATGAATAATAATAATGATAATCTTAAGAAATGCGCGAGATTCAAAGCCGCGAGATTAGATTAGATCTAACTAACCCTTGGACGTTCCTCAGAGTCTGATTGAATCTCCACTCTTGATTTGGGCTTGTGCTGCTGCTGCTGCTGCTTCCACTGTTCATTTCCTTTCTTCGATCTTCTTCTCGTCTGCCGCTCATCATAAAAACATGGCAATCTCTCCTCTTCTCTGTTCTCTTAATTTTTGCTCTCTGCTGCTGTTTATTTATTTCTTTATTTCTTTATTTCTCCCCCTTTTTGAATTTTCTAAAAGTTAAAAAGGCGAAAAAAGAAGACCAGCGCGAATTCGTTGCGATGTTGGTGGGATCCTGAAGTCAGTCCTTCAATTGTTTGCCTTTCACTGTATGGCACATATGATAACGCTAGAAAACCCCCTGGCCTTTTCTTTTTAGCAATAATACAAGCACATATTTTCAAAACCAACCCTTTCTCAACTTTATTTTCAAATATCAAACCGTTTAACATTTATTTAATATTTTTGACCCAGTTTAAGTTGTAGAAAACTTCATGGGATTGTGAATCCCGCAAAGTTTTAGCACAAATTAATCATCTGGCTAATCAAAAAATCTTCATGGGATTGGAAATCCCGTGAAGATGTTTGCCTCATCCCACACCCCTGCGCACGCCAACGTGGACAACGGCAAACTTTACGGGATTCTGAATTGTAGAACCCCGTAAAATTTTATAAGGATATATAGATATTGAATTATTAGTGATGAACAATTCTTTTGTGAAAATTTATCATATATACATATATATATATTGAATGTGATGAATCATGTTTGGGAGCCTAACAAGAAATTCTATGTTGGAGAAAACAAGTGGATTCACCAGGATGTTAAACAGACATAGCAGGCAGTTGTCCTGCTGTGCGGTCGACCGCGACATGCGCGGCGGTCGACCGCACAACAGTCGGGCACTCAGCGGACTTTTCTCCTGTTGCGCGGTCGACCGCGCTGGGCGCGGCGGTCGACCGCACAGCGGGCAGAGAGTTTTTCTGTGTTGGGTCTTAACGGGTTTCGGGTCGGGTTCGGGTCGGGTTGTGGGGATAGTATATATACTATTATACCCAAAAGAGCCCCATTTTCCATCTGATATCAGAACCCTAGCCCCCTCTCTCCCCTCAAACCCTAGTTTCTCACTCCTTGGTGATTTGGAGGAGCTTTGGAGGGCTTTTCAGCGAATTGTTGGTGGATTCAGCGAGAGGGATCATCTTCCTCCAGATCTAGGGCTTCGTTTTCGTCGAAGGCGAGTAACATCCCACCCAACTTCATCCCTTTTCCTTTTTATGCTTGGATTTGAGTTTTATTCGGTTTTTATTGAGCCCAAAATCGTATTTTTGTGTAGATAAGTAGATCTTATGGCATGGGATGCAAGAATCATATATTTCAGTCTTAAAAAGTTCACTAATGATGTTCAATTAATGAGATCCTGATCTGAAACGTTTTTATGAGGATTAAATCTAATTTTACTGTTTAAGAACTTTTAAAATCATGTTGATTTAAGTTGGGATTTTTGTTAATGAAGTTCTAACTATTTAAACTTGTTTTTGACTGCCATACATTACTATTGTATTGTTAGGATTAGTTGGTTATTAATAACCTCAAAAATTTAATTGAGATTCGAGCTGACAGAAACCCAGACGGGGTTTCTGTCCGATCAGCGGTCGACCGCAGATGACTCAGCGGTCGACCGTCGCGAGGTTTTTGTCAGCAGAATGTTTCTGCTATTTGAGCGGTCGACCGGAGTGACCTCTGCGGTCGACCGCCGCTCAGTTGTGAGCCCAGTGACTTTCGGCTCTGCGAGCGGTCGACCGGAGTGATCTCTGCGGTCGACCGCCTTACAGTTTCTTTTCGCCTGTTGATCTTTACTGTTCTTTTTCGTGTACTTGAGAGTTCACCTCTTATGCCTCTCACTAGTTTGTGATGTTAGTGACTCACCCACACATGGGATTGACCGTGATACGAATTTAGACCCGTACATTGAGACACGTGCAAAATTTGAGACATGTATATGTATCTCCACATATGCTAGTGATAATTACATTTCTTCATTCATAGTCTACGTGTTGGGCAATGCATTATTTTGATCCATGTGTTGGATACTTACCATCTTGGTCCATGTGTTGGACATGCATTCTATTCAGTCCATGTGTTGGACCTGCATCACTTTTAGTCCATGTGTTGGACATTGTTGCTAAACCTTGAGCATGGTACACATTTGAGTTTTGGAACACAACATTTTGATACCGTTAAGACATGATAGCTACCTAGACTGGGTATGACACTTATGTAGAATACGACATGATATTTATGACGTGGGACACTACATGATACTCTATTTATGTTCTGAGATGGGTTGTCTTCCCTTTTATTTATTTCTGTTCACGTATTAGACTCCGGGTATGAGTTTGGAAACTACGACATAAATAGTTCCTGATTTGGGCATAATTCTTAACTCTGCATATGACTTCTTCACAGAAGTTCACGACATGATGTTGACATGACACTCATGCAAGTAATAATATGACATTCATGTTAGTCATGGTATGGCACTGAAATTTGTTCTGAGATTAGCTGTATTTTTCTTGATTTATTGTTTCTGTACTAGAACCTCGGGTTTGGTGTTTAGAGATTTACAATTTGGGATATAAGGTATATACATGAGGGTTTCCTTGTTTGGATTATTTCGCTCGACGTACCTATGCTCGTGTTGTAAATTTCTAAATACTAAAACCCTCTTTAGTAGGATCAATGATTTTAGATCTATTATATATTATCTGTATTTTCTTATACAACGAGCCCTTTTCCCTTGGGGTTGGTTGTGATGTTACTCGCTAGCGCTTTGACGCTCGTTGTCCCTCCCCCTTTCAGGTCACGAGCCAGGAGCACGGAGAGCCGCAGGTTGATAGCGGACCACATTAGTGTCCAGCTTTGCTTTCTAGTTATGTATTATTTTTCTTTGGGCTCCACTGTAGTGAGGTTAAACATTTGAGGGTATTATTCTAGAAGTTGTAAAGGCTGTGAGCCTTATATCCTTATCGTCAGATGTTTGTATTTGAGACTTGTTGAGTATTTCAGTTTATCTACTCAGATCTTGACTATGTATTTCTGTATGGTTGGATGATGAGATATTTAAGTGACTATTATTATTTCATCAGTATTCCTTGCATTACCTCTCACCTGTTTTGTACCTACACCAGTTGTTGATTCTTCTAGATAGATGTTAATTGTGATGGTGAAACATGTTATTGCACGGTGTGGTGCATAGCAGGTTTGACATTCTTGGTTTCACCTCGGACTGCAGCCTTGTGTGAACCCAGGGGCGTCACAGTTGGTATCAGAGCTCTAGTTCCAGTATCCTTAGGATCATCCTGTGTCGAGTCGTGGAGCTAGGATAGAGTTTCCTAGGATTCATGTATAGAGTCCGTAGGGATTTCCTAGTATGAGTGAGGACGACTTATGCGTATACCTCAAAATTTGAGGAATTTTTTTTTTATGATACCGTAGGGATTTCCTAGTATGAGTGAGGACGACTTATGCGTATACCTCAAAATTTGAGGAATTTTTTTTTTATGATAACTATTTTGCAAATTTAAAGTATTTTGTGTGAATACTATATGTTGTGAAGATTGTATTGTGATACGCTATTTATAGAAGTTTATTTTGACTCATAAACTTTTATTTTCTTATGATCAGAGAGATGGCAGGACGTGGTAGACCTCGTACCAGGAGAGCTACCCAGGCAGAGTCATAGCAGACTCCATCAGAGCAGCAGCCAGCTCAGTCCGAGCCTCAGCAGGCTCCCCCCGAGCCGGTGACTACTCATATAGCACCACGGACACCACCACCACCGGTAGCTCAGCAGCAGGGGATACCTGCCGTTCCTGTCAGAGAGAGACCCCCAGAGGTCACGCCTGCAGCTATTCCTCTAGCAGTCCCAGACAGAGCCACCGAGCAGGAGGCTTGGCTCCGTATGGTTGCGAGGTACCAGAAGATGAGAGCACCCGAGTTTCAGGGATCACCAGACCCTCTGGCAGCCCATAAGTGGAAGGAGGATGTGAGCAACATTATTGACATACTCAGTGTGGACTCAGTTCAGAAGCAGAGGTTGGCATCCTATAGTCTGAAGGGTGATGCTGGGAGATGGTACCGACTTCAGTTCCCTCCAGAGCAGAGGATGACCCTCACATGGGAGGACTTCATATATTTCTTTGATGGGCAGTACATTTCCTCTGCAGCACGGACAGGGAAGGAGCTCGAGTTATCCCGTTTGACTCAGGGGGACATGACAGTTGCAGATTTTGAGAGCAGGTTTATGGAGTTGCTACATTTCACGGGTATGTGGCAGACAGGAGAGCGCCAGGCTCAGATGTTCTTGGCTGGGCTTCGCCCTAACCTCCGACGGTACCTCGTGTTGAGGAGATTTTATTCAGTCAGGGAGGTAGCTGAGGCTGCCACTTCTCAGGAGACTGAGACTTCTATGTTCCAGAAAGACAAGGAAGGGAAGGCCAAGACCGGACAGAGTGGGGACAAGGGCAAGAACAAGAGATCTTTTTCTGGACCTCAGTAGCAACATCAGGGTCCTTATAAAAAGGGACCCCAACAGGATCAGAGGGCACATCAGCAGCGCAGGTTCCAAGGGTCTTGCTTTAACTGTCGCAAGGTTGGACATAAGGCATCAGAATGCCGTAGCGCACCAGCAGGAGCCCAGCAGGGTAAGGGTCCGAACCAGCAGCAACAGCGACAGCAGGGCAGAGGTCAGGGCCAGCAGAACAGGCTTGAGGCACCGCCAGCAGCTCAGAGGACTGAGGGTCAGATTCGGGCAGTTCAGGAGATTTCTCAGGGGCAGATTATCCCATATTCTCCATCCCCATCAGCAGAGCAGTCTTCAGCCACAGGCAGAGTTTATGCGGTAGTTCCCCGTGATCATGGAGCCAGTGGAGCAGTAGTGGAGGGTACGTTCTTTGTGAACTCCTTTCCCGCCCGTATTCTTTTCGATTCGGGAGCTTCGCATTCATTCATCTCGCATGCATTTATGACTAGACTCCAGCTCGTAGCTCAGCCTCTAGATACCCCGGCAACCGATTTGCAGAGTCATTTCTGGCATACATCGAGGAGGTGATGGGACGGGATTAGGGTGTCGATTTATTGGAGACTAGAGTTGTCTCAGAGTATCAGGATGTCTTTCAGGACATACCTGGGTTACCTCCTGTGAGAGAGGTTGAGTTCTGTATTGAGTTGCAGCCAGGCACAGCCCCGATATCCCGCACACCCTATCGCATGGCGCCAGCTGAGATAAGGGAGCTTC